GGCAAAAGTTCAAACGCCGCTAACATCTTCATTTTTAAAGGAATCAAGACGTAACAAAAAAGGTTATACGTAATTTTACTTTGTCTATCAAATGGCTATCTCGGTTTTTTGAAAATCTTGGATTTTGGCCTAATTTTTTTTCAAAAAACTGACTTTTTTGGGAAAATCATTATAAAATCCAAAATTTTGAGTCTATCGAAAAAACCGGAATATATGTCAGAGAAGTGGTCTATGTGCACCTACATACCAAATTTTAGAAGAATCGGTTCAAAAATGTGGGAGTTATTCAAAATTTTATGACGTCACGACACACAAAATTTTTGAAAAATGACTTTCTTGGAAGTTCTAGAAATCGTACGGAAACAAAAATAGCACCATTCGATTTGCCGTGAAAAACTGCATCAGATAGACACCTTTTTAGGCCTTAACAACCAACTTCAAAATTTGACCTCACTTGACCTGACCTTGACCTGACCTCGACCTGAAATTCATCCAGAGGTGGTCCATATCACTTATTGAGTGTGCCTATTGAATTCTATGAGTAAAGTGACCCATAAAACATGTGTCGCACATGCCCTTTTCTATATTTTGTTCTTTGGTGACGTGACCTGACCTGACCTGACCTTGACCTTGACCTCTGAATGATATTGTATGCAACGAATATTGTCTTGGTAGCCTAAGAACACGTTTTGGGCGATCAGTCTCAGTCCATGACTCCATTCTTCGGCAACTACGGTGCAAGGCCGATACTGTAGAAACTTGCAATTTGTACCCTTGACCTGACCTTGACCTTGACCTCAAACTTTAAATTAAGTACATGTTTTTAGTAGTTCGTGATGAGAGCTTTCGATTGGCGTTTGAATTTTCCAAATCGGACCGTTAGTTCGGGAGATAACAGGGGGGGTAAAATTTACCCCCCCCCCAGCCCCGCGCGTTCGGCTGGAGACCCCAGCCCCGCGCGGGTTAACCCTCGCACGACCAGGCCATTTCTCATAACACGAACGACCAGGGGGGGGGGGGTTGTTACGACCCCTCCCCTGGCGTTTCGAAACGGAAGGTCGTAGAGCTTAGCGGAAAAAACCAACGGATTGCTCTCAACGAGATCTCGCGATTGGTGGTATATTTTTTGGTCCTAGGTCAACATTTGACCTACTTATGACCGGTCAAAGGTCAAATTTTCCGAAAAAATCAAACTTTTTCAACTTTCCGCGGCGATTGCGGCAAAACGGTGGGAGATATCGACTTGAAACCTTCACTATCGTGTTCCTTGATCAATTCTCTATCGTTTGGTATGTATTTCGTTTCCCTAGCTCTAAAAATGGCGCGTTGGGAGCGCCGGAAGTCGGCAAGGTCACAGTCGGCGGCAGAAATTCGAAAAAATCAAAATTTAAATTTTTGAAATCTGATTGTATTTTTGGATTTGGGAGGTCCATTTGCTCCCTATAGAAGCTAATATTGCTGCATATTCCCATTGAGGTGACAAGAATTAGCAAAATAGTGGTTCGGGCGCTTTTCAAAAATAGTACCGGACGCTGTTCCTCTTGTGACGTCATAGCTCCGTGACCTGACCTGACCCGGTCAATTTTCTTGCACCACACGATAGCCAATGCTTGCCCCAACATGCATGGGAAGTTTCATCATGATCCATCAAACAATGTGGATATCACCGGCAGAAAACCTAGGGATTCGGCGCACACGTTTGGTAACTGTCGGCCGGAGGCCGTACCTCTTATGACGTCATAACTCCGTGACCTGACATGACCCGATCAATTTTTTTTCGGCAAAAGATGCGCAAAGGTTGCCCCAGAGGGTATTGAAAATTTCAGACCGCTACGACAAGCCGTTTAGCGTGCACTCCGAAAAAACCTCAGGGGGGGGGTTGATACAACCCCCCCTAGGCGTTCTAGGGTTAAATCGCACTTTAAGGGTCCATGGCACCCCCGTCACGTGACATTTCGAACCTAATATGGGTGCCAGGGACCCAATTATGGGAGCCTTCAAACCCGATTGTGGCAGCGCGACTCCTTAAATTGGTGCCGGGGTGTCAATTTTTTGACATGGGGTGCTAAAATTTCTAGCTGTGCGGCCACTGATGGCCCTATTTTGTTCTCTGGCTGGAGACTCATGACTTACACCTATAGGCGCCACGCACTGGCCTCTGAGAGCCCACATCGGCCTCTGGGGTTCCATACGGGCCTTTGAGGCCGCTATGGCAAGGGGCCCCTGTAAGCTAGCACCGCCCCTCCCCCCCCCCTCCGAGGGTTGGCAAAGTTGCCAAGTTGCCCCCACCCCCAAACGCCAAGTCTGCTACCGAGTACCGCCCCTGCATTCAGATGCATCCATTGTAAAAAATAACTTGCACTGCAGTGATTGGAGGCTGGGGCACTGGCTGCTAGCAAGTTTTTTTTCCCCGGGAAACCGAACTGGTAGTACCTACCGGACGTCTGGCCGGACCTTTATTTTTGCATTTGCTTCTGGGTGGGCAAATCGACGCCACTGGGTGGGCAATTGTGGTGACTGGTTGGGCATTTGCCCACCCAGTGGGTATGTTAAGCCCTTGTTACACTGCCGAATTTTGGTACACGAATGTGCACGAAGATGCAAGTCACCCTATGTCCGGACCGATTCGGGATCTTTCTTCCACGGTCTTGGCATTTCGCAGACCAGTCGGTGTCCACCGCGCGACTTTTATACGGTTCGTCACAACCGCCACGAATATTTCATGAAAAATGAAAATTTCGTGGCCGCTCACCGAATTTATAATAAACGAACATGATCGCCAAACAGTCGCCGAGTCACCGCCGACGTGTCGCTGCGTGCGTCGACTTGTTGCCAAGGATCGCCGACTATTCGCAACAGATCAGGGCCTCCTCTAAAGCCCCCCCCCCCCTAATCGTACGCGGCTCGAGGTTGATCCATGATTCGGCGAGCATCACGAATGAATGGCGAATCTGTGGCGAATAGTCGGCAGCACCTTGGCACTAACTGTTCGCCGATTTCCTACACGACGTGATTCGGCGACAGGGTCGTGGCCAAAATTCGGCAGTGTAACACAGCCTTAAAGGCTGTGTTACACTGCCGAATTTTGGTACACGAATGTGCACGAATATGCAAGTCATCCTATGTCACGGACCGATTCGGGATCTTTCTTCCACGGTCTTGGCATTTCGCAGACCAGACGACGTGATTCGGCGACAGGGTTGTGGCCAAAATTCGTCTAAAGGCCGTGTTACACTACGGCCTTTAGACGAGGCGCTGTTTCGCAGACCAGTCGGTGTCCAATCGGTCGTCGGTGAAAATGTATGGCGGGAAATATTTTTGCAATGAGTTATGCAGTCAAAGATTGGATTTTTATCGTGACATTTTTGACTTTGTATTCTGATGAAGAGCTGTGCTCGAACTTATTAACCCGCGCATGTCTGGGGTATTTTCCATAACGCGAGTGACGGGGGGGGGGGGGGGGGGCTCTCCAGAGCCCCCGTCCTATCTCCGAAACTACTGGGCTGAGCGTCAAAATTCAAACGGCAACTGATAGCCCTGGGAAAATTGTCGAACGAAACCTATTTTCATAGACTTCGAGGTCACTAATGACGTCACAGGTCAGGTCAAAGTAAAAATTGTCTGCATTTTTGCTTGTTCACAATTTAGGATCTGACCGCCGGCTGACAAGTCCAATCAGGCTCATTTTTGGTTTGCGCACTCCTAGATATATGCCTTAGATACCCTGAGGGTAGCGAACTTTTACTTCGATTTTTTTTTCAGTTCAAGGCCAGGTCATCCTAGGTCACGAAAATTGTATATAATAAATTGGTCACGTGACGCATGTTTTATGGTCCATTTTACTCGTAGATTTCGAAAACAATGTCGTCTGCGTCATTTGAGGTCATTTTCAGCTGAATTTACCGGAGGTCAGGTTACTTTCAGGTCAGAAAAGGTTAAATTTTGAAAATGACATTTAACAAAAAAAAGTGGCTATCAGATGCAGTTTGAGCTCAGGAACACGATAGTGCCATTTATGTTGCTGTACGATGTCAAAAACGTACTGAAAAATGGTCTTGAAAAAATATATAATTGTAAGTTTTTTACAATAATGCAAATAACTTGGCTATTTTTGAAGATATTGGGCTTAAACTTGCTAGAGTAGTTCATCAGTGTGTGCGGGGGTCCCGGGAGGGTAGTGGCGAGTAAAACATGTATTTGTTGCTGTTTTCTGCATTTATTAGCATATTGCGTGGTTGATTTCAAATATTTAAGGCTTTTGCTAAACATTTGGGTGGAAGTCTCGTCATTTTTCAATGTTTTCCCGGAATATGTGACGAATTAAATAGGCGTTGGTACGCTGTTTTTCGTGTTACTTTCTATCGAAGGAGCATGAATCTTCAATTTATATGAGGGGTAGTAAGTTTAATGTAAACCTTTTTTTTGTCAGGACTATAGGAGTGTTCCTCCTGGTTGGTTATTGACCAGCTGTTTTCTCTTCTGAATTTCTATGTGTCCTCTAGAAGTAGAAAAAGAGAGCAGTGCACCAGGACATCATGCTATTATATCACTATGTACATTGACATAGCATGCCTGTATTACCAACACTAGCACTGCTGCTTCTCCTTATATCAATGATCATAAATGGCAAAATCAACTATTAATGTTACACATTTAAAAAGGCCGTAACTTAAATCAAAGGATGGGAATCACAGTTGGGAACACGGAGATTAGGCCTTCCAATTTCGGAAGCCTTCCATGTTTGGAAAATGCATACCCATTTATGGAAGGTCCTTCCAAAAATGAAAGGCTTCCAAAAATGGAAGATTTGACCACAGTTTGCCCCACTGGTATGTGAGAAGCTTCTCAATGACATTATCGTCATCGTCATCGGTGACCTCGAGGTCAATGACATTAGGTTTCGCTCGACAATTTTTCCGGGGCTATCAGATGCCGTTTGAATTTTACGATCGGCCCAGTAGTTTCAGGGTAGGATTAGGGTGCTGCTCTTAGAAACTTACTGGGATTTCCCGGATTGGTGAGTACCATCATTCTGTGCGGCAGCATGCGCCTGGACTTGAACAGCGTCTCCAGGTGATCCGACGTCACTTTGAAGTGGGTCTCGGAGCCGGTCTGGATAACGGTGGCCACCTTGCCAGCCAGACGGCTTTGAGGCTCATATGTTGTCCAGGCAGGTGCTACCAGTATCAGGTCTGTGAACACATGTCCACCTGATCAATGTTTGTACAGTGTACACTAGGTCTAATAAAAAGTCACCACCACCAGTGGGCAGTGCCTCCGCTGAGAACATATATGGTTGATGGCTGGGATGATCATTGTGTTGGGTTATTTCCGTACATGTTCTGGGCTAGTGTGGCGCCACCTCCCGCTGGGTGCGCCTCTGAGCAGCCTCTCGCTGAGCGCGCCACTGCGACCGGCGCGGCGGCGCGAGGTCGCGCCACGGCCCCGGGCGGGCGGTCATTCTGGACCGGGGAGCCGCCACGCGCGGGTGCTGCCGCTGGTGCTGCTGCTGCTGGTGCAATGCCTGTATTGAGCACCAATACACGACTGATGGATACGCTGCCTGTGGCCTAACATTTGGCGCGGTCAAGGTAAGCTCATTTACGCTCCCTACTTTTGAGTTATGCTTGTTTAAACAATAACCGTTTTAGCAGCTCTTATGCTATCGATTTACGATAGATGAGCTCTTAGCCTACGACCTGAAATTTGGAAAAGGTGCAGTCGTTCTCGACCCAGATTTTGCTGATTTCAGGTCGATTATGTTAGGCAAATATTAAATCACGCTGAGGCACTGGCAGCGCCTACAGCTCATAAAGCACAGATAGCGTGGTCGTTTAAGACACGATTTTCAAATTATCTGGTTTTGTCATTGCATAACGTATCGTTGGGCGATACGATCATAGGGCTATATAGCGTTGTCGTTGCACGACACGATTTTCAAATTACCCGTTGGTCATTGCATACCGTATCGTTGGACGATACGATCATATTTATTAGTCGTCGTTCATACACTGCCCAAAATGTCGAACGAACTGTACTCAAAAATTCACAGCACAACAAAATTTAGCGGACGCGAGGAGGAAAATTGGGAAACGTGGATTTTCCGTTTTGAGACGCGTTTTGGTGACTTGGAGAAGACAAAACTAGCAACTGCCCTGCTCGACTTGCTGGATGGTGCTGCTTTGGACGTTTGTGGGAACTTGGACAAAGGAGCCAGGAGCGACTACAAGGAACTTAAGGGGGCCCTACAAAATAAATTTGGATCTAGCTGCGACACGCGACGGGCTCGGGCAAAGTTGCGTTTTATCCGTCAACTGCCTGAAGAGAATATAGAATCATTCGCTGATCGCGTCCGAAAACTCACAAGCCTGGCACACCCGGGGTTATCCAGTGAACAGGTGGATCATATAGCGCTAGATCACTTCCTGTGTGGTCTGAGCGATCTTAAGCTTCAAGAGAAGCTGCACAATGACCACACTGTGCTGTCGCTTCAAAAAGCGGAGGAAGTCGTCCAAAGACTTTGGGAAAAGGACCTCACTCTCGCCGTTATGCGGGCGTCCGCTGGTCATGACACGACGGTGGCAATTTCGGCTAAAGAAACGCAACCCATTGAGGGTGGACAGGCACCAGATATTCTGACCATCCTTGGAGAACTCCGGAGTGAGTTGAATGAAATGAAAGTCCAGGTGACCGAGCACTGCAAACCAACCGACAGTAAACGAGGCGTTTGTTACCTGTGTGGCGATACCACCCATTTCAAACGCGATTGTCCGCGGTTTTCAAACCGACAGAAACGGACAACACGGTCCGTTGCCCCGAGGGCAGCACCGAGCGCGATTCCGCCCGGTATTCCCTACCAGGGTTGCGGAAGGCACGGCCACGCGCTTCACGAATGTTGGAGAACGCCAGTCGCAGCAGGGGGCATCGCTCCCTCGAGCCCCGCACGCGATAATTCTGGCGCTGTTGGGAACACTACAGCAGTGCCTGGTCAAGAAGCAAGCCCCAAACGCGCTTCAGTGATCAAAATCGAAGTCGAAGGACGCAGTGTATGGGCCCTCGTTGATTCCGGAGCCGATGCGTCAATGATTGGACAAGAATTCGCCCGAGCGGCTGTACAGAAAGGAGCGTCCCACAAAGGAAATTTTGGAACAATAACGCAGGCAAACGGGCAGAAAATACAGGTCACCACACAAGCAGAAGTGTCGTTCTCGATACAAACCTCGCAGTTCATCCAGCCTATGTTGGTCATTCCAGGCTTGATCTACCAGGTCGTTCTCGGCCGAGACTTCTGCTGCCAGCACAAAACAGTGCTAGATGACAGGGCAGGGGTTTTCAGAGTGGGGAACGTCGAGATTCCTTTACCAACATATTCTGAGTTACGACCGCTACGAGCAAGGGTGGTCACTTGTGCCTCAGTCACCATCCCCGCTAGGTCTCAGACCCTCGTTCAGGCCGAGGTCGAGATCCCAGATGGAGGCGTTAAAATCACTAAAGAAGCCACTTGGGAGGGTGTTCTAGAACCTCACTCAGTTGAGAGCAGCCAAGAGTGGAGGGTCCCTCGTTTAGTTACAGAAGTGACGAGCGAGGCAACCGTGCCGATTCAGGTCGCCAACATCGGGGGCAAAGCAGTAACGATCCCTCCAGGCACAGAAATCGGTACACTGTACTCTATTCAAGAAAATGGCAAGGGTATGTACGACGTCCCGAGCTCTTCAGCGGCTTCAGCTGAACTCAGTGCAGGGACGCTCGATGATCTCTTAAGCGAACTAAAACTCGAGTCTACTGCCCTTTCAGAGAGTGGCAAGACCTCGCTAACACAACTTGTGTCACGATACCAGGATATCTTCAGCACAGGAGAGTCCGACATTGGAAAAACAAAGCTTCTACAACATCACATCGAAACTGGAGGCGCGGCTCCGATCCGACAAAGGCCACGACGGATCCCAATGAAACTAAGAGAAGAGGTGGAAAGACAAAAGGAAAAGATGTTGAAAGAGGGAATAATCGAGGAGAGTTCCAGCCCTTGGTGCTCACCCATCGTTCTGGCCAAGAAAAAAGACGGCAGTTTCAGATTCTGCGTCGATCTTCGAGCAGTGAACTCTGTCACCCAAAGTCTGCCAGTCCCTCTCCCGAGGGTGGATGACAACCTCGACAGCCTCGCGGGGGCAAGCCTGTTCTCCACCCTCGACATGGCCTCAGGCTACTGGCAGGTTGATGTCGCTGAAAAAGACCGAGAGAAAACCGCTTTCAGCACGGGAAAGGGCCTGCACCACTTCCGGTCTATGCCTTTCGGCCTCAAGAACGCTGGAGCCACGTTCCAACGACTGATGGAACTAGTGCTGGCTGGAATGGACTCAAAAAGCTGCCTGGTGTACATAGACGACATTATTGTCTTCGGAAAGGATCAAGACGATCATCTCAAGAACCTGGAGGAGGTCTTCCAAAGGATCAGGACAGCAGGGATGAAACTAAAGCCAAGGAAGTGCTGTCTAGCCCGCGACGAGGTAGTATTCCTCGGACACAAGGTGGGGAAGAGCGGTGTGGAGCCAGACCCAGCAAACATAGAGAAGGTGCGTCACTGGCCTCGACCACAGAAAGCCGAAGAGCTGAAGAGTTTTCTAGGGCTCGCAGGATACTACTCGCGATTCGTGCCCAACTATTCTGACCTCGTGCGACCCATCAGAGAAGCTGCTGAGAAAAAGGGTACTGTAGAATGGACTGAAGAGCTGGTGGAAAGCTTTGAAAGCACTAAAACGAAGCTGACGTCGGCGCCAATCCTCACCCTGCCAACCTGCAAGGGCGAGTTCAAGGTTGCAACCGACGCCTCCAATACTGCAGTCGGAGCGGTGTTGACGGAGACCATCAACGGCGATGAGAGGGTGATCGCCTACGCCAGCAAGGTGCTCAACAAGAGTGAACGTCGATGGCCGACGTATGATAAAGAACTTTGGGCAATTGTATGGGCTATTAGACATTTTCGCCCATATTTGGCTGCCACAACGTTCACGGTGATGACGGACCACAAACCGCTCAAGAACATTCCCCGCTCGATCAATGTCGACGGAGACGCCACGGGGCGACGTGGCAGATGGGCAATCGAACTCAGCACATACGACTTTGACGTTCAGTACCGAAAGGGCAGTGACAATGGCAACGCCGATGCCATGTCACGACAGAACGCCGATTTTCATCCTGAGGTCGAAGAAGCCATGACCGCAGACCACGAGGCTGTGACAGACGCGATGAACACGGAAAAGCTCAGACGTGAGCAGGACCTTGACCCCATTCTTGGAGAGGTGAAGGAGTGGTTGATGACAGGACGACTCCCTCCGAAGAAGGAAATTCGAAAACGAAATCGAAACCTTAGAATAATGGCTCGATTGTTCGACCAGCTGACGATAGAACAAGGCGTCATGAAACTGAAACACCAAGAAAGAGACTGTCTAGTCATTCTCCTGCCCCGCACGTATCGGGAAACAGTTCTGAGCATGCTGCACGACGACAAGACGGCAGGACATCTGGGCACCAACCGCACGCTTGAGAAAGTAGCGGCCAGGTTCTTCTGGCCCGGGATGGGAAAGGACGTGGTCCATCACTGCGAAACGTGTGAAGCCTGCCAGCGCCGAAGCAGACCAACACCACGGTTACAGGCCTCTCTTCGCACCGACGCCTATTCAAGACCATTCGAGAGAGTCGCAATTGACATTACCGAGATGCCGATGTCAGTACGCGGAAACAGGTATGCCCTGGTGGTGATGGACTACTTCACCAAGTATGTCTACACTTACGCCATGCCCAACCAGACGGCCGAGACGGTGTCCGATTGTTTACTGGACATGGTTCTACGGCAAGGCGTTCCTGAAAGGCTCCATAGTGACCAAGGTCGACAATTTGAATCGGCCGTCTTCCAGTCCTTGTGTAGGCGGTTGGGTATCGTGAAGACTAGAACGTCACCATAACGACCGGAGAGCGACGGTATGGTAGAACGATTTAACCGCACGCTCAAAGACATGTCGTCAAAATTCTTGAAACCATGCGGGTCCGACTGGGACGATCACTTGGCGTCTCTCACCTTCGCCTACAACACGTCAAAACATTCGGTTACCGGGTTTACGCCATTCTTCCTGGTGCACGGACGTGAGGCCCGCCTTCCAGTCGACGAAATGTTTGGCGTGGAAGGCAAAGTGTCGAT